AAAATTGATGACTGGGCCAGCTTGCAGTCAAATGGCAAGTGAAAAAGAGAGGGCAACAGACATTTCTGACTGTTAGATATCTGATTTCCTAAGAAAGGGAAGGAGTTTAAAACTCCAATCACTGATAGAACTGAAAAGGAACAAACTTTCCTTAACTGTATGCATTAGACTGAAAAATCTGGAAGTATCCATCATACGTCACATAAATGAAACTATTACAATACACTGTTGAGATAAGTTTAAAATTGAAATATTGAAAGTACTTCTGAAAAATACAAAACCTTAGCAAATTTTACCAGCTGACTTTGAAGAATACAGACGCGTCTACATTCAACAATACTGAGACTGAACTGTCAGTAGGTGAGACATACTCAACCCAAGTTCACGTTTTTCTCAAATATGGGCAAGTGGGCATTTCTCATCCTTACACCATGAATTTAATCTCTAAATCAGCTGTAAAAGTTCTTCAGGCATTTTTAAAAAGCTAGCAAAATACTTTCTTCATATCTAAGACACAGATTCTTCTCCCTTACTGATTACATGGAAAGTATAAATGAAGCTTCAGCTCTTTGACAGTAAAAACAGCTTCCTTTTCAAACAAAACACTTACTTCAAGTTATGGTCTAGTAGGCTGACTGGTGAATTGAAAATCCAAAGTTCTGGCTTCTGCTTTCGGCTGACTCACGTCTCAAGTGAGAAGCCTGCTCTCTTCGACGGGGAGAGCGCCTCACCTGTCCCATAAAGGTGAGGATCAAAGCATTATGTCCTAGAAAAGATTTTTGAGCCTCATATAAAAAGCAATAAATAAACCTCAACGTTAAACATGACAAACACGAACATTACTAAGTACAGGGTCTTGAAGATCAGACCGCACACATGGAGACCACGGGCTTGTGCGTCTTAGAGATCAGGCACTTGGCATTTTTATTCTGTGCGAGTGTCCCACACCTCACGGGAGGCCCAGCACACCTGTGCACAGAGCCACTCATTTAAAATCCAGCAAAATGGTCACTCTGGGAGATCACTTTTTAATCCAGGGAAGAACATTCATTTGATCACAAGGATCAAACGTTGTCAAACATCTCCTGACTGCTCTCTATGTGCGAGCAGTGAGACTGGCAGGTGACAAAGACAGGGCCCTGCCTATTCCCTCAGTGACATCTGCCTCATTGTCAGGCTCCAGGAACCACAGGCACAATTCCCAGGAGGTGGTCTGGATACCTGCTTTGGCGATCGGGGGCAGCTTGGCTACACTGGCCTCATCTTGTCCCACTGGCTTCTCAGGCCCCCACAGTGCTCCTTCCACTGAGTGTTTTTCAGGGTGGGGGTGGCCCAGCATCTTTAAGTCGATACAATGAAAGGGCCACCTCAGTCTTCCCCCAAATAATCCAGTGTCTTCATCTGACCACAGAGGGCCTCTTTACAGAAAACCAACACCGTGGAAGGTAACGCTGCTGTGTTTCCAGGCGGACATTTTAGAGCCCCAGGTTTGGTACACTCAATGTACCAAGGGCGCCCTAATGCACCAAGGACACTAAGCTACTTCTCTGGAAACCTCCCTCCCCTCCCAAGGGGAGCTCAGGTGGGAGGCAGGGACAGTTCTGTTTGTACCATGTCAGCACAAAGAATGAGTTTCCTGTGCACAGCCTAGGGAAACCCTTACTTATAAAAAATTATAAAAGTGATACTTCCAACCCATCAATGAAGGAAGTATCATCATTAAAGTGGTAGTGCAATATAAGAGAACACTTCCTTGCAAACAATCCACCACCTGACATTCCCCCAAACATGCTTTTTCACTTGTTACACAGTTTGAAAAAAGCCTACTGTTGGCTATCGACTCCTCACAGCAATGAAATACTCAATGAATTCAGGAATTTCTGAGGCCAAATCTTTACAGTATACCAGCTGTGAGTTGGTAAACACTGTTTTTAACACTGCTAACGAGGAGAAATGCAAACACCAAGTAAAACTTATTATAAATTACAAATATTTCAATATTTACACTCAATATGAGTTTAACACAGTAGTATAAACAGAAGGTCAACAGGCTCAAGAATTTATCTGAAGCACCAGGAGATAGTAATACAAGTAGTGTGAAACTACAACCCGGAACGTAAACACACGTGAGCACAGGCATCAGTCACACCACACACGTGCACACACTTACACACGCATGCACGCACACACACTCCTCTCTCATGCTTCTCCTCACAGATACAAGCACAATCAAAAACAAAAACTCTACTTCATTTTAATTTCAATACTTAGATCTTTGAAAAATCTATATTTGGATGTATTAAACAAAGAAACAAACAAACAAACCTGTTTTAGACTGTAGCCTAAGAGGGATCCTTTAAATACTCACTTACTCTATCTAACCTGAGACAATTTTTCTTCTGAAAATAAATTGCACTTCCCCCACAGATACATTTGTATTTAAAAATTTTAAGACCTATCCTAAGCCATCAACTCAACATCCACCTGGTATAAGTGCCTTACAAAGAAGTATCAAAAAATTATCAAGAAATGATGTTTCAAAGCATAAGCGGAATGAATGGTAAAACACAAACCTGCATGAAATAAGTTAAAATTTATTTCACAATACTGAAATAACTGCAATTTACAAAAAAGTCATAATTTTGGAACATAAGAAAGTACATGCCTATGCTTCAACACAATATTTCATATTTATATATAGTAAAATAAGTTTGGCACTTAGCAGCTTTTGTTGATTATTGCATCCCATATTATGTGGCAAATTTATTTTATAAAAGATTATCTAATTTTTTTAGCTACAGTGTCAATGAAATGAATTAAAAAAAATTTTTTTATAAAATGAATTTACCGAGTCATGCAGGTACTGATAATATTTTAATAGGAACCCATTCATTCCCAAATAATGAACTGTCTCCTTGGAGAGGTCTGGCATAAACTGGAAAAAAATTCAAATGTCATAAATTTAAAAAAGGGAATTGCTGACTATCATGGCTTTGATAGGAGGACAGTTTCTACTTTACCGTCCCCAGTGGTAGCTGCTGAATGCTGAGGCTCTATTCTGTACAGCTGCAGTCCTTAACCCCCAGGCCAAGGGCTGGTACCTCCTCTTAGGAACTGGGCTACACAGCGAGTGGTGAGCAGGCCAGGGACGCTCCATCTGTATTTACAGCCGCTCGTCCAGTGCCCCCCATCACTCCCATCCCTGCCTGAGCTCTGCCTCCTGTCAGATCCTAGCCCTTCCCCACCCCATGAAAACTGTCTTCTATGAAACCTGTCCCACGTGTGAAAAAAGCTGGGGACCACTGCTGTACAGGACGTTTCATCAGACAAAATTTTTAGTAATTTGTTTCCTGTAAAAATAATATCTAGTAGTAAAAAGTAAAATCTCTCTTTGCAGAGGTCACATAGCTTGCTTTGACTAAAAGATACCCCAAAGTATCACTGGGAAAATGTACACACCATGGCTGACTGGTACCCAACGAACTCCAAGCCTAGCTTTGACGGACATATCAAATTTGACTGAATTACATGGCAGGCACATGCGGCCTATTGCCTCTAGTATATGTGATTAAAAACTTTAAACTTTCTCTTACCAAACATCTGTTGGCCAGCATAAAGAGTTAATGTGGCACACACAATATTCTTTAGAACTCCCCCGACCCTGTGCCCCTGGCACAGCCTCTTTTACCAATGTCCGTAGCACTGCACTGACTCCCAGAGGGACAGGAAAAACTGCAGCTAGGACGTCACCCTTTCCCATGTGCACAGGTGGGAAAACATAAGCGATGTTTCCAAGGCATGTTAATAGCACACAGACATTCCATAGAGAAAGTTTCTAGGAGTTCCTGTTCTCAAGTAAGGACACATTTATAAATCATAAAGACAAAATGCTGCTTCTTGTAGCCATACTCACAGAGGAAAAAAAAGCTATAGAAAACAATTAAAAATGAAGTACTCTATATTAAATGACTTAGAAATTTGTTATTGCATAAAATTCAAATCAGGAAGTAATTAAGCGTTTTGAAGTCCCCGATTTCATACTATGGTGGCATAATTTGAATGGAAAACAAAATATTTTACAAGATAACTTCTACTACTAAAAGGCTTTTTTTCTCCCATTGAGAAGTAGGGCAGAGTGGGTTGAGGTGGGAGTGAGAGGAAAGGAGGGAAAAAGGAAAAGACGGATTTGTTCTTCTATTAACAGAATAAAATTAAATTGAGGTAGTTTATTCTACCAGCCAAACTTTACTCGTAACATAATTTGTCTAAAACTTACTAGTGAATAGCACTGGGAAAATTCTATTACAAACACAAGATCCTTAACACTGACTCTCATTCTAAGACAAGTTTTTAAATCCTAAACAGTAGTAAACAAGACTTAGTGTGCTTTCAGACAGATTAAGAAGTTTTTGATCCCTATATATTTTTGTCTGAACAGTTTTTGTTTCTTTTTTTAAGTGATAGCAGACATACATTATTTGTCTGACTCAGGACTTCCTTTTATATAATCTCCTACTCACTAATATCCTCTTACTTATCAAACGGCTTTGATCAACTGAAAAGGAAGAATGGCACTGCATGAGACTCTTCACAACTCCCCAAGTGCCACCCTGGCAACGATGGCATGACACATCACAATCTAAATTAACAAAGAAGTTGGCAACTTCCTGTAATTTCACATGAGGGCTGCAACCTGACACATCAATTGACTGAAACTTTATGTTAGAAAAGAGAAATGTTATCTTCATTTCATCATATAATAGTTTTAAAAACATTCTTAGGACAGAGTATTAGTAATAAATGGAGACTAACTGGCATATAGTCCGATCTAACATTTTAGGCACAAATCTTACTCTGTTAGACAGGGTTAGGCATGATACACCCTTCCGAGTGCAGTAGGAAAGCAATCTTGGCATGTCTGGATATGTTGACTTGCATATATGGATTTTTCTGTTTGTTTACCAAAGCCACATATTTGAACACAGCAGTGAGTCAGATACGAGTTCCCTGTAGGGAAAATGCACCTTAGTGGTTTAACTTCAATATTTTACATGATACCCATTCCCGCTCCCTTTTCCTGTCGATAGCCTCCATTGTGTACAGACAGACACATCTAATTGGAGGAACTGATTCCTCCCAGGGAGTTTGTCAATAGTTATGTGTTCCCCCAAAGAGGAGCTGAAGCTCAAGCTTGTAAGCATCACAAAATCACCAAAGAGTTACCACCCCACAGCCCAGCACAGAGAGAGTTTCAGCTGCCATCTGTTCTTCCTTACGTAAAGCTAGGTTAGGGTGCTCCTGCGTCAGGATCTCGCTCCCTGCCCCGCTTCCTCTTCAAGGTGAATGAACACGAATACGGAATAAGCCTTGCTGAAGCTGCAGGCGGAAAAGCTTGCAATTTGCAATACGTAAGGCTGCACACCCGGTGCGGCGAAGGTCAGATGGAAGGAGCGGTTTAGTGTGGTGCCAGGTTCCCGTGCTTCTTTTAAACTCACGCACGTAATCATAATTGGTACCTGAACCACAAAAATAAGCAAAGGTGAAACAACGCGCCTTCAAATCACCTGCAAACCAGCTCAAAAAAAAATCACTGTAACTCTTACCTGTATCGAGATCTCCAATAACATAAATACTGGCTCCTATTGGTACTGCTCCATAGACAAAAGAGGAACTGGCAGGGATGCATAAAGTCTGGTCATTAAGATAAATCCACCTGGAAACAAAGCCAACAAACATGACTGAGAAAATCAAAAGGAGGACGACAGCATCTAGGAAGACTGAGATGACAACGGATGGGAAGACACCCACAGTTCTGGGCACCGCGCCAGTCTCGACCCCCACACTCACTGCCAGGGAACCACCGATGTGCTCCCTTGTCACTATGGATATTAATTTTGCCCATGCTAGAATGAAAGGGATGCTGAATCATAAGGAGGATGCACTTTCCAACCTGCCTCTTTTGCTCAGAACAAGGTCTCTGTGATTCACCCACGACAGTGCTTGCATCAGTCACTTGCTTTTTCCTGCTCAGCAGTATCCGTTACGTGCACGAACATGCCTGTTATGCACTCACCTGCTGGCATTCATGTGCGTAGCTTCCTGTTCTGGGCCGCAGTGAATGAAGCTGTTGTGGACATTTTGGGGCAAGTCTTTTTTTTTTTTTTTTTGAGACGGAGCCTCAAGCTATCCCCCTGGGTAGAGTGCCATGGCATCACGCTCACAGCAACCTCCAACTCGGGGCAAGTCTTTTCTGTGGACTTATGTTATGGAATTGCTGGGTCATATGGTAAGGATATATCCTCCTTGATAAGAAAACACTCCATTGCTTTCCAAAGGGTTGTGCACCATTTTGCATTCCAATTAGCAATGTACGATGAGGATTCCAATTATTTGCTGTTACCGTCAGCTCTTAGGATTGTCAACCCTGTTGATTTTAGCCATATTAATGGTGTGGACTTCCCTGAAATCTAATCATGTTGAACATCTCTGCATGTGTTCATTGGTCATTTTATATATTTTCTTTTGTGAAATGTCTGTTCTAAGTTGTGCTCATTTAAAAAATTGAGTCTACTGTCATATTACTGTATTGCAAAATTCTTCATATTGTGTGGATACAAGTCCTTTGTTAGATACACATCCATGTGTTATGAATTTTTTTCTCTCCAGGATGTAGGCCGCCTATTTATTTTCTTAATAACATCTTTTGAAGAAAAGTTCCTAACTTTGATGAATTTCAACATATCCTTTATTTTTACAGTCATGATTTCTGTGTCCTTCTAGGAAATCTTTGCTACCCCAATGTTATAAAGATTTTTCTCTTATGTTCTCTTCTGGAAATTTTATGGTTTTAGCTTTTACACTTAGGTCCAGGACACATTTCAAATTAATTTTTGTGTATGCTGTGAGTCACAGTTCACTTTCTCCAGACAGACAGCTAGTTGTTCCAGCACTATTTGCTGAAGGCTTTTCTTTCCCAACTAAATTGCCTTGGCATCTCTGTTGAAAATCAATTTAATAATCACTAAAAGGATTCAGGGCTCCATGAAGAAGTGGTTGATTCCAGAACTGAGGCAGAGAAAATACAAGAAGACCCTGGACCACCTCTTGCTGCCAGACAAGAAGTGCTTAAAGAAGGAGGGGTGTGCCATAGGAGCCAATATGAACAGCCCTGTTTATGAATAGCCAATACAAATGACCAAGGCTAGAACAATCTGAGCTAGGAAATAATGACAGTATTGGATTTGTAACTCAGAGGATAAAATAAATAATCACAAATATATCTGTAAAAATTATATATATTATATATATATATATATATATTTGAGATAGTCTCACTCTGTTGCCTCAGGCTAGAATGCAATGGAGTTTTAGCTCAGAGCAACCCCAAACTGCTCGGCTCAA